ATTTACTGGAAGATGTAGAATCCCCAGAAATGGGTCAGACAGCGGGCAGCGTGGGGGGAGGGGCAAGTGCTTGCTAGCTGAGATGCGGGAATTCGACTGGAATTCGAAATTGTCCCTGTCCATAACGAAGAAGTTCTTTCAGTTACTGCTTGCCTACCATCCAGAGCTACCCAAGGACGCTGTTGCAAACTCCTAGGACTTGCGCTAACAAGGCACTGAGGAAGGTAGTTATGTTCATTTGGCCTTGAACGCAGTCTGCTGGATTAAATGTTGAATTGTCCAGCAACGAGCATTCTCGAAATACGTCTTCAACTGCACATTTACGGAATTCAGATTTTCAAGGGGTCTGCTCAGTGGCTGTGGCCAATCCTTTGTGCATGTGAACCATCCTGTTGTTGGGCAGCCCTTCCATGTTGGAGAGTTCTGTGGTTTAGGCACATTTACATCGATTTTTAACCTTTGAAGAATTGGCCTCTTTTTTAAAAATGTGGTACTTCTGATTAATTTGATATTGCTTTTCATATCTAAACGCATTAAACTTGCACAACAGGCATAGTTCAGTCGAATAGCTGCTTACTCTAATAATAAACTTTTACTATTCAAATGAATTCTGTTTGTTTGGAGGAGTGAGCGGAGCTGTATTCGTATATTATTGTACTTAGAAACCACGTCAAACTGGCAAAAAATATAATTTAGTGAATTCATAGAAGACAGATGGGAGGATGGTTCGCTGCATTAAGTTATTTTCAGACTAATAGATAACGTGTTTTAACTATGGGTCTGAAATAAATATCGCTGTGGAGGAAGCTACAGTTAAATTCAGAAAACTAAGTTAGGTGTTGCTTCTAGCCCTCTGCATACTTCATGCAGAAAGGCGGAGTGCGCGTTACCAAAGACCTTTATCAGAACCAATTACTATTCGTAAAGATTTATCCAACTGATGTTAAATGTCTCGCCCTACGCAAGTCTCGCAACTGTCTAAGGCAAAATGGTTAAAGTACCAATTGATGGGCAAAATACACCCTTAAAACATGTAGTTTAAGAACCTGTGCAATATGAATGAATGAATTTTATTCCATAAACAATAGACTTTAAACCTACTATTAGTTAACAGTTAAGTCTCGGTTTTATGCTTAATCCAACATGATTTAGTTTAAGATATACTAAGATCGGTGACTTTGGACACTCTGGCGACCATTTTATACAACTTTAGAC